GAAAAGAAAGGTAACATGATGAAAGTAAAACATATCTTTCAATACAATGTAAAACAATAAATTTAACTCTCCTCCAATATTAAAAGATATCTATTATTTCTTAATAAGAGAGCCAGAATTAGTAGGACCAGAATTGATATATAATAAGGATCATGTACTACAAAATGTGTCCCTAGTCATAGAAATACACTCATGAGTAGGAAGATGCTGGGGCTATCATGACGCACCTGAGACCTAAAACTCAACTAAAGGAAGAGCACACACATTTTGCTACTACTGGATGCCATTTTCATGGCATACTTTCAAAAGCAGAAAGGAAATGTATCTTACATTATGCATGGATGGTTACTTTTCTCCCTAAGCCAGGCTCTGAAACAGAAGAATGGTGTGTATATAAATACAACAAATAGAATAAATTAAATTTGATTATCATCAAAGTAGGCAATAAACTTATAAAACACATCTGGATCACCAGAAAACACTGAATTTGTCTAGATCTCTATTCATTTAGAAACAAAGAAATATTCACTATGTTTACCTAGAGAAGAAGTACATCCCAGAGAAGGAACTACTGAAGAAAATCTTGTAGGAAGTATGAAAAAGAAACTACTACACCTCTAAACACTCAGTAGAAAGCTCAGGTCTACTCTCAGTGAAGGCAAAGAGTTTTTGTTCACTGCTATAAACAGAGGACCTAAGACAGCTCCTGTCCCCTATTAAGTATTTCTTGCTGTGTTGGATGCATTTTGTGCAAGCTTTCAGATTCAGCCTCACACGTCTCGTAAACATACAGTCCCTTCCTCTGCTTTAGCCTATGAACTGTCACTTCAACCTAACAAATTTATATATTTCATGTACCTCTACATTGCTTGAGGCCAACTAGCTGCATTTCTATACTGGTTTCCTTGTCTAGGTCCAACCTAGAATTAAATAATACAATACACAGTATGGTAAAACAAAGAACTTTAGACTAGTGGAAGCCAAAACACAAAGAGGAAACTAGCCAAATGAATTACTTCTCTTTCCATCCATTGTTGCCACCAGCATGATGACTCTTTGCAAAATAAACCTGGGTGGCTGATTTATTATGCCTACCTCGTCTTCATAACTCATCCTGAAGCAGAGACCCTATGATAATGCCTTACCTTGAACTGCTTTTAATCCTTTCTTGCCTTTGATTTTTTTGTGCCCTCATGCACTATGCAACGGAAATGAGTCTCCTAAGTACTTAAGTTCCTCACATAGACTGTTTTCTCAGACATCCGAAAATAGATGTTGGAAAAATGAAATAAGGATAGCATAAAGAACTTTTTTTTTGGTTAAGAGCAGAATATAAATAATGCTCCAGTCCAAGAGAGGAACAAAAGGGGACCTGAGTAGATTGCCAAGGGACCTGTCTTTTTAAGGTATTTTTATAGAGCAAAACCACAAGGTGACGTAGGTACAAGATGGAAAACATGGGAACTCATTCATTGGGCATAACACTTTTAAACCAGGAAAGCACACCCATAATCCTAGTACTCAAGAGACTGAGGCAAGAGGATCATTTGAGTCCAAAGCCATCCTGGAGTACATGGTAAGTTTAAGGTCAGCCTGCACTGCATAGAGATCCTGTCTCAATCAATCAATCCATCAATTTTAAACTTCAATTTAAATAAAATAAGCTCTATTAAATCAAACTTGAGAAGTTTCCCTAGATACAGTTCAAATGGCATAAAAGAAAATCTCAGTAGAGGTATAAGAGAAGTTACTGAGAATTCACAATGTTTCTTCCCATCTCAGCAAGCATGTTGAATTCTTTAAAAAGATACTGTATTGTTGAAACATAAATCCAATGATGTTTTTGGTTACCATGATACTATTGGGTTGGATAGGACATAGGTAAACGAAGTCTCTTTGGAGAATATGTTTGATATCAAAGACACAAAAAACCTCAAGTAGTAAGTTTAAAATGTCTTGATGGCTTCCAAATAAAATTTCATTGCTTGTTCACATTACATGTAGCTTTCCCCTATTTTAAGACAAAAGCTGAAGGACCAGCCTTGAGAGCATAATATTAAGTGAAATAAATCAGACACACAAAGTATTACAATTACTCTTTTATGAGAAAACCAAATTATAAAGAACAAAATGAAAGATAAAAGGAAGTAGGGAGACCTTTTTATCCAGTGTAAAAGAGATCAAGCGGTCTACAGGCAGGAGAGAGAGGAGGGAAAGAAAAAGAAAAAAAAGAGGAAACATGTGTTATATACATGTACCAACTCCACACAAGAAATGTAAACATTTACTGCAAACATACTAATAAAAAAAAAAAAAACCTGAAGCACCAGACTGGATAGGGGATATACTACCTTTGCAGAACAGGGTAAAATCATAGGCAAACTAAGCAATGACTTCTTTAAAAATGTTTGCAAACACATGACATATATTTCTTACTCTGGTACCTGTGAGTCCTATGACTAAATCTGATTCCAATGGGGCAGAAAGCACATTCTATCAACAGTTAAAGATAGATCTACAGGATGAACTAAAAGAAAGAGTACAGGAAACAAATCTGCAAAGAAGAAAATTAAAAGTATAATTTATAGTAAAAATAAAACTACTGTGATAAATAAAATGAAAAGCAAAATGTACAGTAAAAAAAAA